ACGTATTTGAAAATTCGGTGATTTTTTATATTTTTTCAAGAGAAGAAAGAAAAGAGGAGAGGTAGGAATCAGACGATGTCCAAGATGCTGGATCGCTTCTTTGCTGCAATCTTAAGTCGCGAAATATACTTTCCGTGCAGATTTCATACTTCATCGGTTATATTCGACCAGTATTACTCTCACTTTTGAAGAAAGTAGCTTTATAAGTAGAAGATAGCTGCGTGGATAAATATTGTGCATCGCGTGTGTGCGCGGCCATAAACGTAAATTTTCATTAAATATGACTTTTTATCCTCTTTAATCTTTTATAGAGCAAATACTATAGAAAAAAAGAAAAGTACTCTATATTTACTAAATTATTTCGTACATGTTTATAAAATACCACGTTTACATAAATGTGATGCTCTGTTAAAAAATTCAAAATTTATGATAAATATATTAATTTTATCGTTTTATTTCTGATCATATATACAAATATATTTTTCTTTCCTTTTAAATGTGGTATCTTAAATGTGGAATTGGGTATATAATCTACGTGTTTTGTATAGCCATATATAATTAGTCCTATAATACGTAGTTCTTGAGAAATCGTAATTGTTAAATCGCCGTACTGCAGAAATGCGATTTTGAAAGCAACCGCAATTGCACACTTCATAAAAACCATCACGCAAACTTGATTCGTATACGAAAGACGCGAATTTCACAAAAACCGGGGCACGCATTTCCTTTTTTTATTCTTATTACATGCTCAATCCCTCTTTAAATGATTTATAAATTATAATAAAATTATAATTGTAACTTAACATGTAGTATAATGTGAAGAATATTAAAATATGTATACTTACAATTAGATGTTGAAATTGCAGAATCTAAATTATACTTATTACTTGATTAAAATTTACAAATATCCTGGGTAATAAGAATCGCATAAATGAGTGTTTACAGTGATTTTGCAACATTTTTATATTATTATTTTTTCTGATAACACTTTTCTCTATGGATGATGAGTCATCATACTGATAATGAGTCGCGCGTTTAACTTTTAACGCCGATATTTCTTAATGCAGAGACAAAGCTGTTATAAAAGAATTATTGTGTGTGAACATAATGCAATGTCACTTTCGAACTTTGGTTTCTGTACTTTGTTCTATACGCACTGTAAAGTCCTATTACAAGCTTATTAAAAGTTTAATTTAGAAGGATTATTAAAGAATTGCATTGAGAAAATTTTAATAAATAAAATTATTTCAAATATTTTATTCTACAAGGTAATAATTATTGATTACGAGAAAAATTTAGATTGTATATAACAATTATTAATTTGGTATTGATTTGATGTTGATATCACGAGACACGCAAATACAACAATATACAACAATAATTAAAATAACATTTTAGTATTATGCTCTCTCTCTCATTTTTGTTGAATTTTGTTGGATTTAATAAAGCAAACATGTTTTTAAGAAAAGAAAAGAAGAAGAAAGAGAAAGATAGTGGTTGAAGTAGCTGGGCGAGCCACATCCAAAATTAACTAGTCTGACTGTTAAATATAAATTTGTTGCTATGAATTCTAAACTTGCCAATGTGTAAAAAATGTACTTGAAAAGAATTTCATATCTATGACATAGATCTAGATCTTTGAACGGATATGAATAAAAATATAAATCAAACATTTTTATCTCCAAATATATTAGATAATCGCACATTATCATCTTTGCATCATCATCGCTCCTCGAGTAATCACATGTGATTATTTTTGCACTAACATTCAAGTGTGTCTATTCCTTGTCTTATTATGTACTTTTTGTTCTGCATCATGATAATGATCATTGTATTATATGAACTGCAGTCTTGTCTTGTGCATTGTCATCGTCGTGTCTTCTACGAACTAGACAATAAGTTTGTGGCATAATAATTACATGAACAACATAATAATTAAATAGATAGTAAAAAGTTTAACTATATTAAAATGTTGAAAAGAAGCTGCGTGGAATGTTACAATGTCACAAGACAATGTGATCAATGAGACAAATAAAAATTTATTATTTCGGAATAATAAAGTAACAATATATATATTATAGACAATGCGATGAACGAATCATTATGCGTAATGCCCGAGACCAGTCGGGTAGAGTGATAAAGATTTATCGCTTTAACCAGGCAATAAATAAAAATAAATAATTAAATATATGTGTGTGTGTGTATTTATTTCACTCTGCCTGACTGATCTCGGGCATTGTGCATAATGCCTCATTTATCACTTTCTCCATAACATATATATATTTGCAAACTCTGAAATATAAATATGAATCAATTATTTCATTGTAATTTAGAGATTTTGTTATTTGTAGGTATAATAAATCCTATGTGCTTTGATTTTTTTATGAGTTATTAATCAATTGATAAAATTGTTTCTATATTATATATTTCAAAGAATATAATTGAAATACAGAACAATTTAATAAAGAATTTTATAGAGAAATTTTTTATGGATGACACATATACTAATTAAATATATCTTTTTTCGGGCATATCTCGATATTTAACAATTAATTAAAATATTCTGGATCTTCAGAATTCAGCGTTTGGTATATGTAACAACTCAATAGAATCGTCAAAATTTTAATGAGAGGAGAGACACAGTGGGAGATGTTGCAGCAGATCTCGAGATCAGAAGAGACGTCGGGGAAAGCGGAAGCGAGAAAGTAAGAGTTCACAACCGTAGGCTGATTTCTTCAACCGTCACTTTCGTTCTTCGTTTGCAACCAGTGTGTCACTGTTTAAAGGTGAAGTTTAAAATCAGTCATTATATATTCCGAATTAAATCAGAGAATTAATAATTTGCTCTCTTCACTTGAAGAACAACAGTTTATCATTGTTCGTGGTCTTTGCACGCGATGAGCATGCTAGATAATTAACCTCTTTCTTTTTGTTTTTTTTTTTCTTTTCAGATCGCTTATAAATATTTATGTATATCGATTACGCAAGTCTCCAAAAAAAAATTCTCGGAAGATATCTTACTTTGATATATTTATAAAAAAAAATTTGATTTAAAATTGAAAAACAAAACAAAAGAATTATTTAGTGAAGTAAAAAAGTTGGTAAAGTAAAAAATTTTTTTTTAGTATTTTTAAAACTTAAAAAAATATTTTAGTCTTGATACTTTTTTATTTTACATTATAAAAATTCTTAATATTTTAGGCAAAGAATCCGCGTGTTAGTGCTTTTCATACACAAGAGCACTCTATATAATGTAATATTACAAAAACAGAAATATTATACATATATCAAAGGAGTGTGCAGCTTCAATAATTCGCCGGTTATTTTTCTTGGAGAATTCGACAAAGATGAAATATGGTATTGGTATGACTTATCAATACAGTCATTGAATATTTATACGAGATGCAAAGCAAGGCAAGGACAATGACACTTCCTTTTATGTGACATATGGAACTCTCGCTGGAAATCTTTTTCTTTGACATCTCGTGGGTAGCTTTCGAGGGAAAGTTTCGCGCAATTTTTTATGTGTCACTCGATTACATTAAAATATGAAAATCACTATTGTTAAATGCGAAATGAATTCTGAAGCAGTTTGATTGTGTAATTATTTGTGTAATTAGTATAATCTATATACATAATTTGATGTGTAGATAATATAACATAATAATCATGAACAATATAATAAGAATAAGAAATACAATAAATGTGACATCAAATTTATCAATAAATGATAATCACAATATTAATATAATTAACGCATGTATTGTGATATCAAAACGGCCTTTTACGTAAACCAGTCGTTGCGAAAACCACATTTAATGATATTATCATATCGATTTCTCCGTATTCAAGAATGTTACATAAATTGCTAGTATTCTTTTTCTTTTTTTTCCGCTTTCTGTCGAAAGGGTCATCCTGTTATTGATTTTTTTATTGGAAAGCGCGAATTATGTTTTTATATCATCGGAACATATTTTTATATCATTATTATTGATAATAATTGCGATAATTATAAAGTATTTTTATATCATCATTATTAATAATAATTGCACAAAAAATACAATGGGAACAAAAAGCTCGTATACCACGGAACATCGATCATATAGTGTTTTGCTTTATAAACTTGGTCAAACTTCATCGATCGAGATAAATATCATTAATCTAGAGTAAAACGTATAATACGCATTGACTAAAAATAAACACATTTTAATATGCATTATTATGATTATTATGATATATAATGGTCTTTTGTGTGATATAGTATAAATTAAACTTGTAACATTAAACAAAATTATAAATAGATCAAAAGAAATAAATTAAAATCAACTTTTATTTTATATATATATGAAGCAAATAGACTAAAATTTAAAAAAATTATAATATAATATAAATTTATTTCATATATTACATATAAAGGAACTATTAATGTAGGCTTTTTGAATTAAAAATATTTGTTTAATTAAAATTTTTTTATATTATTACATACTATATTATTACAGATTAGATCACAGCACTTTTTGCAATACATACAGCTATACATTTTTTTACAACAGATATATACATCTTTACATATAGTAGCTCAAAAGCACGTTGATTTTGGTCCTTTGGAGAATATAAAGATGAAGAACGATCGACGATGTAGAAATCGGCAGTAATATCTCAGCTATTATATTCAATAATAAAAAATAACAATTTTGCATTGTATATAGTGATATTCACTTCGAAAGTCAGAATATATGATTCGCAGAACATCAGTCGCTTTGACTTTCTTTTTCATAGTTTCTCTCAATAACTTGTTTTTTCATTTTGTGACCAACAACAATGTCGGATGACTAAGATTTTCATTCAAGAAAAAAGTATAGAGTGACGCACACACGAAAAAGTCAATCTCAATAAGAATTCTATTTGATTGTAATAAATAAAGTATTATTATTTTTATTTTTATAATAATAAAATAATAACATTTTGATATATTTAATGATACAAATGATACATGACAAACGATATATTATTAATATAAAATAAAAAATTAAACTAAGAATATATGACGGGCTCTTCTATTATTCAATAATCAATTACATTAATAAACAAGCTAATAGAGCCAGAGTTGGATTTTTTTTACGTGCTCAGTTATTTATTCAAATTAAAAATACAACAGACGTTTCGGCCATTGTTTTTGACCTTCCTCAGTGAGCGATAATTTAATAAGAATTTGATAATGCAAATGTGTGAGAACACATTCAAATGTTAAACATTAGTACGTCTAGTTTTTGTACGCCGAAAACATAACTCAAACTGTAGGGAAGGACGAAACTGTCTTCTATATGATGTCATTTCATATTCCCGAAATTCTTTTGTGAGTAATTTCTTTGTGTGCATTAAAGTTTCTTCTCGAGTGTTCGTCCGTTACAAATAAAGATTAACATAATCCATATTCGTCAGCCCTCAGCTCTTATTGAGACACAGATGTTTTTAGGAAGTCAAAATTTAAAAGTTTTTAGAAGTTAAAATTGTCAAGTTCTGTTGGAAATTATGATATTATAAACTGATGTCTTCAACGAATTGAAAAAAATCCAGCTCTGGCTCTATTAGTTTGTTTATTAATGTAATTGATTATTGAATTTAATATAAATTAATTTCCAGCAATAATGAATACAATAATTAAATAATATAATTGTTATATTCAATCTTAATAAAAAAAAAAATATATTTGTTACAAACATGTATAACACTACTATTTGGCTGTTTTTTCGCGGGTCATTCTATGTACAGCGGTCTTAAAACTGTTTCGTAATTTGTTGCTAAATTCTTGTTTTTCTAGATTTTTTATAATAGTTGGATCTCAGGTACATTATATAGAAGATAAAAAATTATCTCTGTTAAACCAAAATAGTTTTGAAGGCATTCTATAAATTGTACATATTAAATTTCATAATTAAATTGTATAACGTTCTTCATATATATCTTCCAAATGTGTTTCTTTAACGTATTTTTAATACAAACTTTAACCGTGAAAGTTAAAATAATTGTAAGTCATCATAGAGAGATCATGGTTACATGCAAATCAAAGTTCAATTACTTATCATTATTAATTATTAATGTTAAGAAATTCCGCAACAGTCGTCATCGGTATTGCTCTCTTGGCTTGACTCCAACTTCTTGAATCTACGATTCGAAGAAATCGCTGCACATAAATATACGCAATATATTACGACAGATATAAGTATGATTTTGAGATAGATAAGTGCGTAAAAATGACAATGGTTAAGCTTGCCTGATTAAATTGAAGATATATAAATGGAAATTTAGAAAAGCCTTATGCGTGACAAAAATCATTTTAAAATTCTTTGGTAATATTCTTAACAGGCATATAATTAGAAAATTATAGATATATACATATCTAATTTCTAATTAATGATATATTTGCTGAATTTCTTAGAATTTCTTTGAATACTTAAAGGCGTAAAAGATACGTATTGATACCTGAGATGTTTTTTAAACTGTTCTATATTTGTAATTACATTGTGCAAATATGAAATATTAGTTTTATAAAAATATAAACTAATTGTTTAAAAACTTCAATATTATTTGGTATTATTTTAATGTGTAATTTAAATTTATTTTAGATAATTGTGATAAAATTTTTTATTTATTATATATTATAAATTATCGAACGTTTAGAATTTAATTTTATTCGCGCGTATCTTAATAATCACAATAAAAAGTCACAATAAAAGTTGAACATGTCGACTTTAACCAGTTTACCATGACATTCATATCTACTTTAAATATTTAAAACCCATGAACCGCTTCATCTTGTTTCATGATGTTGCGTGTATTTTACGTAAAAAGTCAGGCATTAAGAAATCTTAGAGATCAAGCAATCTGATATCAAGATCTCCTTGAAACGTAAAACGTATATGTTAATTAATAATTGTAATTTATTATGTATGCGCTAACATATGTATATATGCAACGCTTTATTATGCTTTGAAAAAAATTAACAAACTTATTTCTGCATTTGTAAGAGTCAAACCATTGCAAAAGAATATAAAAGAGTGAAAGAGAGAAAAAGCAAGCACTATTACATTTACTATATTGCATCGAATTAGTAGACCGAGATGAAATTATGAGCTATAATGATGCAATTAAACAAAATTCACCATTTTTCTCAAAGAAACAACTTTTTCAAGAGAATATAGCTTTCTTATATGATTAAATATTTTTGTGTTAAATAGTTATATGTTATAGTTATAGTTATATGTTAAACAGATTAAAAAATTAAAAATTAAAAATTTTATTAAAAAGAAAATATCTTGTCTTCTTTTTTGATGCTTAGACAAAAATTTCCAAAAAAAAGGGAATAATAAATTCTTAGATTAAATTTTTTAAATATTGAGCAATGTAAT